GCGGGTCAGGAGAGGTCTGCCACACCATATGGTCACCTCCGGGGCAGGCGGGAATCGAACTCATGCGGAAGCGGCTTTTAGATTCTCAGTGCAGTGCTTTAACCCGCTGCGCCACCAGGGAGGGCCGCAGATATCTTTTTAAATGAATGTTTTTGTGTCCTAGATTCCTAGGAGTGGAATTGCTGGTAAGTTCATAGGGACCCTTTTTCAGGTAAGGACTTTTCTTTTTTCCAAAATGGAAATATCTTCATCATTTTCTCTGATGCCATTTGATCACAATACAACATTCACACAACACAGCACATGACATTTAGTTCACATTCACATTTATTCAAACTCAGGCCCTGTAGATAGAAACAGGGCACTACAGGGCAATCATGGCTTCCCTCACCTAAGATATACAAATACAAAGAAAGACCTAGTTTATAATTTTTACTAGCTCCATGACTGTAATAATTGAATTGCTTTTAAGAGAAAAAGAAATTGGAGCCACCTTGAATGTCAACCAAAAGGGGATCAACTAGTTCAACTGTGGTCCCTCCATATCATAAAATTCTATGTTGCCGTAAAAAAAAAAAAAAGATGTATTGATGCTTATATGAAAGTATTTTTTTTAATTTAAGAACAAAATAAGAATTGTTTTACATACTATAATACTATTGTTTTTTTAAATGCATATAGGTATATCCATACATACACACAAATAATTTTTTAAAACTATATATAACCATGAAAAGCAGTTACAGTGAAAATGGTGTGGGAGGGAAATAGCTTTATTGCATACTTTCTGGGTACCATTTCTTTTCTTTTTTCCCCCGAACATGTGAAGCCTTCTTTACTAACTCCATGAATTGAGTGACTGTGTTTATCATATTTCTAAGTATAGCATAAGAACAAAAGCTGCTCTTGTAAGGTTATTCAATAAGTAGTTCCTGGAAGAACAACATTGTAGATTAATTTATTTTAACTGTCCCAGTTAACATCCTGCACTAGATTCTGTGTTCTGAAAGAAGCTTTAAGACTGCTTTCACACCCTTCCTACCTATTCCTTAACTAGGCAACATCTTCCCTTGAAATATCCCAATTCCTGGAGTACTTACCAACAAAGGAAGATGTCAGTGAATGTCTCTGCTGTGGTGAAAAGTGCAAATATAATCCAATACATCATCCATTTGACCTGTGGGAGAGAACATAATAAAGCTAGCAGAAAAGGTCAACTTCAAGTTGGCTGCTAACTTCAAGGACAGACACTGAGGCCTGTTCAGTCAGTGTGATCTGCACTAAAACCCATTGTCCCTGTCCTTCTTGAAAGCTACCCCAGACTTGGGGCTGTGCAAACAGTCTTCAAACTGACCCAGGTTCAAGGTCAGAGTAGCTTCAGAGGCCCTGAGGAGCTCTTAGTAGCCCTCAGCTGACAGGACAACAAGCACACAAGAAGTGACCCAGGATTCAGCCATTTTTTTTCAGGACTAACATCAAGTGAGTAAAATCTCTAGGCCTCCACAAAGACACACCCTTTACACTTTAACCATACACTTTAACCAGGCCAGACTGTCTGGGAAGGGATGGTGGTACTCCATACTGGTCATCACCAGTATGACCTTTCCTGTGGGAAAGCCCCATGGCCCCTCATGGAAGCCAAGTCCTTCTTTCATCTCTCCCACATGACCATCCTTTCCCATCTCCATTTCCTCTCTACCCAACTTGAGCCTTGGTCCCCCTCTGGCTAACCTACTGCTACCGTCTCCTAACTGCTTCCCTAGTCTATTACTTTCCTTTCGCCAATCCATTCTGACAAACCACCCTCATACTAATCTGTCCTAAAAATATGAATTCATGCAACTACTTCCCAGCCTACAAAACAAAATCCAAATTCTTAGGTCTGCTCCCTCCAGCTTCCGGATAATGTACTTTATATGGACTAAACTTCCTGCCAATAGTAGTAATAAAATCAGAACAAAATATCTCAAAACAACTACTTAAAGACACTAAAAGGCTATCAAAACTGGAAGGGGATCAATTCTTGAAATTAGGGAACACATCTGGGTAGATCCCTGATGATGTGGCTGAGGACACTCCCCAGCCTTCAAATGATAGGGTACAATAGAAATCAAAAGAAACTCATAATCCTATGTGCCTGAGAAATTGAAGAATGCAGTTTGAATCTTTTAGAGATGCTGGGAATGAGGACAGGGGAATAAATCACAACAAGAGGGGAGACATAAACAGCAAGCCCCCCAAATCTGCATACAAGTTCCTTAAAATCTGGGCCCTTCCCGGTGAGGCAACAGGTTAAAGTGCAGCACCCTGAAGCTCTCCACAGCCACTTCACCAGGAGTTCGATTCCTGGCCAGAAGGTGATCCACACGGTACGGCAGACCTCTCCTGTCTCACCCACTGTCTCCCTCAACAGTGTTCTTCACCGATCTGCCTCTTCTGTTCCCCGCTCTTCCTCTAGTGAACCCTCTCACCGGTGGCTCCTGTGCCTCTGGCCTGTATCCCACTTCTGTATGCATAAGTAAATAAATCTTTAAAAAAAAAAGTTCTTTAAAGTCTTTAGCTGAGGGCCCTACCTGGTGGCGCAGCGGGCTAAGGCACAGCACTAAGAAGCTAAAGCCACTGCAGCATGAGTTTGACCCCCAGCCCCGGAGATGATCCACATGGCACGGCAGACCTCTTCTGACCCGCCCGCTGCTCCCCTCAGCAGTGTTACTTCTTCAGTCAGCCTGTTCTGCTCCCCACTCTGTCTCTTGTGAAACCTCTCACCGCCCCTGCACCTCTGGCCTGTACCCTGGTTCTGTATGCATAAATAAATGCATCTTAAAAAAAAATCCTTAGCTGAATAGTGTTCCGTTGCATAAATATGCCATATCTTCTTGATCCATTCATCTGCTTTTGGACATTTTGGTTGTTTCCATACCATTTCCATACCATAGCTATTGTAAATAGTACTGCAATAAGCATAGAGGTATCAACCAAAAAAAGCTAAATTTATGACATTTGCAGCAGCATGGATGGAGCTAGAAGGGATTATGCTCAGTGAATTAAGTCAGAAGGAAAAGGGAAATATCAGATGGTTTCACTGACAGGTGGCATAAAGGCAAACTGAACAACGGGTCAGGCAAAAGGCAGGTGAGCTGTAAGTCTGAGGCATCCAGCAGTGAGGGGAGCAAAGGGGTCAAAACAGGGGGAGAAAGAGCACAAGGGACCATGGTCATGGTTCATGGGTGGGATGGCTCAGAGGGGTGAGAGAACTATGGGGACTACAACCGAAGGAAGAAATCGAATCTTGTACAAAAATTAACAACTACGTAAGAAAAAAAATTCTTAACTGAGACCTGAATTGCAGAGAATCTGTAATACTCAGGCCCACAGAGGCTAGGGTGGGGAGTGAAAGGGCACCAGGTAGAGTTCAGGGATCTGCATGTGGCACATAGTTTAACTTATGCCCTCTCTGCTTTGAGTGAACTTCCCAGCCCAGGAGGCACCTAGCAGAGTGACAGATGCCATTATGGTCAGAGAATGACTGGTCCCAGCAGCCCAGGAAGTGCTCCTAAAATCCAGGTGTCTGGCTAGGGGGAGCTGTGAGGAAACCAGAGCAGCCACAAATTCCAAGGGTTGTTAACCTAGAGTGAAAACCCACTCACTGATAATTAGCTGTCTTTGTTTAACTCACTGAAACAGCCCACTAAAGATGAGGTGCTCCAATGATTTCTTCAGAGGATGATGTCCATGGATGTCTTAGATCTCCTGACAAATCAAAACACTGCTAGTTATATTGAATCCCGCTCTTTGTTTTTTTGGCTTCTAGAGGGGTTCTGAATTTGTGTTTTCTTAAAGATTTATTTATTTATGCATGCAGAACTTGGGTACAGGCCAGAGGTGCAGGGGCAATGAGGATTCACGAGAGACAGAGTGGGGAGCAAAACAGGCAGATTGACAAGGGGAGCAGCAGGTGAAACAGAGGAGGTCTCCCACACCAGGTGACCCACATGGCCAGGGATCAAACTCACGAAGTGGCTTTGGAGAGCTTCCCAAATTTGTATTGCTTTAAGTCACGAAGTTCACAGCCATTTGTTACAGTGGCAATAAAAACTAGTACAGAACACTACCACAAGGCTCCAGGGAAGATAGTGGCAACAGAGGAGAGACCTGGTCTGAAAAATGACTAGGGGGTAAAGATGCGGGGACATAGTCACCAACCAGGTGTGTGTATAGGATGGGGTGGTAAGGGAGAGGCAGGAGTCAAAGGAAATTCCAGGATTTCTCTCTTGTACAAATGGGTCTATTGGTCAAAGGAGAGGGTGGTTGTGAGTGTGGATGTGTATGGGAGAAAAAAAAAACAGGTTTCCCCTGATATTATTCAATTCCTTTCTTCCACTTTCATTTTTACCAAGAAACCTTCTAATCTTAACTCTCAAACTTTCTCTACTGTGAAAGCATGTGCTCACCAGCCAAAACAAACAGCTGGTCTGCTTGTCAGCTCTATTTCACTCTAAATTAATGAATTAACAGTCTCATATTAAAGCAGACTCCTGTGAGTTTAGTCAGAGCGAAACAATAGACCAGGGTTTGATCTTTCCCAAATGAACTGACAGAATTGAGTTTCTGCCCCTGAAAAGTGGCAGGTCAGACCTTGAAACATGGTGTGTGACCCCAGTTACATCTCTGGCATACTGCCCCAGGCTGGAAGGCTTAGGAGAGAGAGACAGGGTCGAAGTGCCATCGTGCTTTACCCCTGCGCCAAGTCAATAGAGAATCATGAGGTTCTGTGCTTGCAACTTAGCTATTTATAGTTCATACTCTGAGATACCCTCACACACACCAGGGCCTGGTCTCCAGAGGGAAAAACACCCTGGCGTGGGTCCCCTGCCTAGTCGCACATGAAAGCCAGAGCCAGTGGTTCTAAGAAACTGAGAGTAGGGTAAGTTCAGGTTGCAGTTGACCTGGAGGTGGCTGGTTTCACCATAAAGACATTCTGGGAAATCAGAGAAAGCAAATAATGACTTTCCAAACCCACTCTGAATGATTCTTTTACTTGTACCAAACTTGCTAAGTGACATCTGAGTAAGAGAGGGAGAACAAAGCCCTTTGTCTCACACAATACCAGAGGCCTGGGTTGTTGATCTGCACCCACTGTTTAGGTGAGGAAACTGAGGGTCTTGGGCATTAAGTTTCTTGCCCAGCATGGCGTCAATAAATATCAGAGCTAGAACTTGACTTCAGTTGCTTGATCAAAATATGCACATCTTTTGTACTGTAGCCCAGCCAGAGTCTTTCAGTGAGGTGTGGTCCTGCCCCGTAGCCAGGTGTCTCCCAGGAACCATGCTTTTCAGTCTGCCGTGTTTTCCCAATAAGGAAATTGAGGCTTATGGAGGTGAAGCAACTCATCCAAGAACATTCAGTGTCATGTGGCAGACTGGGGGGCCTCCATTGCCTGATGTCATTTCCTCTGGCTGTAACCCTTGCTTTCCTGTCTTGATCCTCTAGTTCTAAGAGGTGGTCTAGACAGGAGAGGAGCCCTGGACACACCAGCAGGCCTTATGACAAAAAGAGTAATGAAGGGTCTTCTGCCCACAGCAAGGTGGCACTGCTCCTACCACTCCACACCCAGCTTCCCCCAACAACCAGCCACCTTCCAAGAAAGTGTTACTTACATATTCTTTAATGTCTTTTGATTTCACAGCCTTGTAGGAATAGTACGCAGGGTAAAGGGTGCCAAATATAAGCCTACAGGGAAGAGAGAGCAAAAAAAGAAAAATATGAATTTTATTCACTCTACTTGATGGAAATATCTGTCTTCAATGCCAGGAGTGGTTCTCCAAGCTACAGAAAATATAGCCATGGGGCTTGACTTACTTTTATGAAAACTCGTTAGGGTTTCGGCTCATGGCTAAGATATACCTCTATAGCTCCACACTCACCTCCCTTCAATCTGTTATTCAGAAGGGAGATCTGGGATCACAACAGCCCAGGAAGGAGAGTATGGAGGTAGGATTCAGATCAAACAGCTTAGACCCCTGAAGTTAAATGCCAAGTTTTCTTTTCTTGCCACTAATCCCTACCTGACACTATAAATCCCAGCCCTACCTTTGGCTTCCTTCTCCATCAAAAACTTTCCATTTAACGTTTCTTCAAATTAACTCCCCTCAGACTTGACTTCAGCAACCTGCAGACAAAATCAGCTTCTCAAAATGTACATGAAGCCAAACCACCCCTACCTCCCACCACACCTCGCCCTACCTTGTGTTAACCTGCTTCTGCTTTTAAGATGAAGACGCAGAAACAAGGACACCAGCCTGACTGTTGGGCATCACCTCTCATTGACCCATGCTACACCAGCCCTGATTTAATTTACACCATTAAGTCATTTGAGTCTCAGTCCTGCTTCTAGCAACTTGCATGACAAAGCCCTCCCAGCCCATTCCACCTTGCACTGTGCCCCTTCAGGTCTCTGCCCAGCACTTCTCTCTTCCCACTGTGTCTGAATAATGCCTATTCACTCATCAGATCCTGAGGAGGTCAAATCTCACTACATGCTAATAGCACAATGTACATATATATCATCAGGATGCTCTTTTACTATAATTTCAGGGATACTTTGCTCAAAGTGTCTCCCTGCTGGACTGTGAGTAGCTTCAGGGCTCCAGAAGAAGCTGTTTTGTTCAACAATGTCTTCCTAGCTCTGATCACACATTGGGCTCTCAATAGATACATATTTTTTTAAAGATTTATTTATTTATACATACAGAACTGGGGCACAGACCAGAGGTGCAGGGACAGTGAGAGGATTCACCATAGTCAGAGTGGGGAGCAGAACAGGCAGATCGACGAAGTACACTGCTGAGGGGAGCAGCGGGCGGGTCAGGAGAGGACTGTGGCATCACGTGGGTCACCTCTGGGGTGGGGATCAAACTCATGTTGAAGGGGCTTTATCTTCTTTCAGCTGTGCTTTAACCCACTGCACCACCAGGGAGGGCCCTCAATTGATATTTTTAAGTGAATGAATTGATAGAATGTTAGAGCTAGAAGGGTTTAATCCTTTCCCTGACAGATGAGGTCACCCATAGGTGTTAGTTCATGAGTGACCTGATGGGGCACAGGAACCACCTTGGCCCCGGACCTCACACCTTCTGTGACAACCCCCATAGATAGAGCTTCCACAGTCCCTACAAGGAGACCACACCCAGGAAGCCCAAAGCCATGGCTCTCTCATCAGGTATTTAGAGGTTGGACAGAGAACTCCCAGTGCAGGTGTACAGATGCAGCTCACCAATCTGGGGTCGGCCTCACCACAGGTGGCGTGGACAGAAAACATCTGATATTGCACATTATTAGATCTTTAGGGGAAAAACAAACGTAACTGAGCCAAGCCACTTCTGATGTTGCAGAGGCAAGGGGCAGGCAGCACCAACAGCTTTAGTATCATCACCTCAGTCCTCAGAGAGCCTGGCTAAAGAGAACCTCTTTTCCAGACAGATACCAATGCATCAAGTAGCTTGCTTGTCTAAGGTTCTATGACCATAAAGTGGTAAAGCCAGGGCTAGGACCCAGCCAGGTCAGCCTTTGCTAAGCCTGGCTTCTTACACCATTGCCCACTGCATTGGAGAGCAAGGCCATCCTCTGGGAAGATGGCAAGGGCCATGCTACCCACGTTGAATGACAAGGTCCTGATGTGGGGGTAAAATCCTGAAAAATCAGGATGTTCCACAGCTGGTTCCTGCTGGGTTCTTTTCATTTGTTTATGGCCATTTCCAAGAAGTATGGTTTGTTTTTGGCCATTCCCAAGAAGCATAGCAACTGTCCAAATATACATTCAATATAAAATCAATTATTGCTTGATTGGCTTGATTGGTTCAATAACAACAGCATTGTACACAGAATGGCACAGTACATTGTAAAATAATTAATATTCCTCTGCTTGAGAGGGCTGGCACAAATCTAGGTCCCACAATAACAAGAAACCTATCACGGTTCAAGGATTCTGGGAACCAAAGTCTGCAATAATTTCCTATCAAGTCCCCAGTAAAAGATTTATAGTTTAAAGTAATATAGTTTTGTTTTAAGTAATAAAATTATAAATGATAATAAGTTTTCTGACTCTTTCCTCTTTCACCCCAACCCTTTTTCACACAGAAAGGTTTTTTAGATAAGATTACTAGGATAGGGCCCTTCCTGCTGGCTCAGCGGGTTAAAGCACAGCACTAAGAAGCAAAAGCCACTTGAGCATGAGTCTGATCTCCGCCTGCCCTAGAGGTGACCACATGGCACAGCAGACCTCTCCTGACCCGCCCACTGCTCCCCTCAGCAGTGCACTTTGTCGATCTGCCTGTTCTGCTCCCCGCTCTGTCTCTGGTGAAGCCTCTCACCGCCCCTGCGCCTCTGGCCTGTACCCCAGTACTGTATGCACAACTGAATAAATCTTTAAAAAAAATTAATAGGATAATAATTAGTGACCATAAAAAAAGAAATTTTCCCCTAATTCTTATATTAGATATAGAGGCTATGTTGACAGAACAATTGCAAAAACAGTAATTAATAGAAGTTCCTTTTATAGATCAAAAAAGGGATTTTTTCCTTAGGGTCAGGGAAATGTCAGTGCACTCAGCGTTGATGTTTTTCTGACTCCTAGTTCCTTAACATTAGATGTACCTTTAAGATGTATGTTCATTGAGATATTAACTAAATGATTGCTTAAGTTGTAATAACTAACGGAGCACCATAGAAACATTTTTGTATATTGTTAACTGATCACAATAGGAATATTTTGTTTGATGACTGATCACCATAGGAATGTTATTAATGACTGGTCACTATAGGAACATCTTGTGTACCAACTGTACTTTTAATTAATGAATGATGAATATCACAGTCTCAAAATAAGAGATCAAAAAGTCCGAGCTGTCTTTAAGAAAAATGTGATGATTGTTTAGCTTTCTGCTTTATGCACACACTGAATGTAATCCCACCACTTGCTTGTAAGGTATAAAGACCTGCTGGGACAATCGGCAGAAGATGCTTTCACCCTAAACAGGTGTCTGCGTCTCCTCATTTTTCTACCTCAGCTTTTCTCTCTCTCTTTTTTCTACACCGACGCCATCTTTTCCTGCGGGAGGCTCTCACTCCCTCAGCTGAAGCTGGTCTTCAGCAGGAAGAATTATGGGTGGGGAGCTTGATAAGCCAGTAACACAGATCAAAGTGTTGTCAAAGAAAGGGGAAAAAGTAGGACGAGAAGTGAGAATTTACTACGTGGAAGGCGACAGTGCAAAAGGTACCAGACTGGCTGTATGAAGGTTTCAGAGTGGAGAAACAAAAGCCAGAGCCACCTGGGGACACTCGGGACATTGGGATTGAGGTCCCAGCACCTGGAGGATGCTGGACAGCAGGGGCTGATGCAGCAGAAGTCTTAGACACCCCACCACAGTCCAGTGAAATAACACTTAGTTCCTTTGGCACAGATTCCTTGGTTCCTGGCCACGTCTGCCAGGAAAGTGTCCAGCCCCTGCCTCAGCAGTATGTGATGGCAGAAGAGAGACAGGTGGGAAGTGACCCAATGGCCCATTGATTTGCTTCTCCATGAACTCCAGCGAGCACTGACAGTGAGTGGTCAAAGAACCCAGAAGCTTCATGGAGTGCTGTGCCAGGAGGCTGTGCTCCATCTGCTGGACTCCTGATGTGAAGTGGCTGCCCACCTCCCTACACGAGGCCCCGCCTGACAGAACAAGGACAACAAGATGAATTTACCCTGTAATCGCTAAAACTTCAATAAATACAAATAAAATTTAAAAGATAAGTAAAAGCTCAATAACGCTGCAGTAAGATACACTTAGCATGCCATTGCCTAAGGAAAGGGGCATGGGATTAAAGTGGCAAATTCTTCTAAACCTATTTTGGGGAGAGAGAAATAATAAATGAAACAGAATCAAGCCAAAAGGGTTTGGTACTTATGTCCATTCAAACCAAGCCCCTGCCAAGGCCTCTGTCCCAGACTGACCCAGTGACCTGCCTTTCTTCCCAACCTCATATTCCACCCCCCATCCACACTCACACACCCGAGAACTCCCAGCCACCAGCTGTGCCCCACAAGCCTCACTCACAATCTGTAACCCTGTAACCAGGCTTTCGTCTACCAAATCTTAGTGCAGGTCCTTCCCACATGCCCACAACTTTTTTTCTGCCTAAGAGAGCTACATTAATCCTTTAAGACCCATCTCAAAAGATCCACTTCTGTGAGCCTTTGCTATCTCCCCCCTCAGAATTTTCTTGGCATTCATAAAGTCTGTTACAGTCCTCATGCAGTGTTATCACAAGACACAAAAAATAATGATATGACGAGTGTGCATTGAGTGCTAACAACTCTGCAGGCTTTACACAATCTCTTGCTCAATATTCTCCACAACCATATGGAATACGAATGCTTACTGCCCATTTTACAGAACTAGAACACTGAGGCCCAGAGTCACAGTAGCCTGCAGCAGAGCTGGGAGGTGGAATCGGCAGCCTCACCGCAAGGTCTGAGCTCTTTCTTCTCCCGGGCTGTCTACACTGGCTGAGACTACATTGCCCAGTCCTCAGTGATTAGTTGGGTCCCTTGTGCCTGACACAGCCCCTGACTAAATGGTGCTTGACAAACGCCTGTGGAGTGACCAAAGCTGAAATAATTGCTAAGGACCTGAACCCACTTGATAAATTCACACAACTCTCTCCACAAGGTCAAGAGAAAGGCAGTA